CCAGCCTCGCCTTTCTTTGTAAATAGGAACCACATAATCCCTTCCCCTTCCTTCCCTGCTCCCTCCATCCACTGCAGACCCAGGGGCAGGGGCACAGAGCTTCTCTGGCTGAGGTGCATTGGAGGGCACCAGGCTTTGCTGAGGCCATGCCCCCAAATACATCAATGGGCTTTGGATCTCTGGTTGATGGTCTGGTCCATGCAGTGACCCCCTCTTGGGTGGGGTTGATGCCAGTGTTGTGGGGCTGGAAAAGCAAAGCCGAAAGTGCCCTGCTTCGTTAGCAAGAGCACTGCAGGCTCTCAGCCCTGGTCCCCCTGAGCAGCTGCCACCATAGGACCATACCTGAAGGATGGAGCCCCTTGGCAGCTCCAGGAAGACCCCCGACTTTGTGGGGGACCAGCAGGGTCACTGGGACTCCATTGCCAGGAGGAGACTGAAGGAACGATGAGCCTCAGGAGTGTCTGCGTGCTGCCAGCCCCATGCCAGCCCTGTGAACCAGCCTGCAGGAAGGCCTGGGCACAAAAGGGGTTCCACTTGGGAAAAAAAACAAACCAAACCAAAACAAGAAAAAAACAGGGAAAAAGGATAGAGCTGCTGGGCTGCTGCTGATGGGGCACCTGGGTGGCAGCTGCTGGCTGGGGCAGGAGGAAAGGAGCCGCGGTCGTGCTGCCATCCATCCAGCTCTGTGCCAGTGCGCAGAGTGTGCCCAGTGGGACACACACAGTGGCAGCCCCACAGGGTTGCACACTGCTGCAGCCCCACAGGGAACAAAAGCCATGAGGCAGCACAAAGGAGCCGGTGCTGCTGGGCCAGCCAGCGGCTGGGTTGGCTGGCTGGGGCTCTCTTTCTAAAAGGTGGGAGATGGGCCTGGCCACTTTTGGGGGGCTAAACGCCAGGCTGGCAGGCAGGCAGCAGCCCCCATTGCCAGGCGAGGCAGGGCAGTGGGCATGCTGTGGGCCTCGTGGGGAACACGCCTGGAGGGGGAGGGAGCAGGGCGGCTCTGTTCAGGGCTCATCAATCACACCCTGCACACTTTTCATCCAACAGCAGTTCCTCCTCCTTCAGCTCGGGCCTGAGCCAGCTGGGACCTGACCAAAAGCCTGGCCAGCAGAGGCACAGCCCGGTCCCTGAGCTGGAAAGCCCTGGCATAATGTGGCTTCCAGCCAGCAAGACTGTGAACGAGCCCCTTCAGTCACAAAGGTGCCAAAAGGGAGCCTGCAGGCAGCGAGGTGTCTGTGCCTGCATGCCCAAGCCTCTGCTGATGCCCAGGGTCCCAGGAGCTCCCTGAGCTGTGCTGGGATGAGCCCAGAGAGGCTCAGCTGCAATGGCCATGAGCACAAAGCTGAAGAAAGTCGGCACAGGAGCTACAACGTGGCACGATGGGGGGATTCTGGGGAAAAATACTCCTGAATGTACAATTTCAGCACTTATATTTGCTTTTTCTTTATTTGCTGATGTGCAGTTCTCCTTGCAGCAGCAGAAGCTTTGGGAGAGAGTAGATAACCACACCAGAGTGAGGTGTGAAAGCTGGATCTGTGTTCCTGGGCCAGCTTTTAGGATATCTTGGGGCAAGAAGGGCTAGGCAGGGCAGCAGGCTTTGCTGCAGACCCTTTGACACCTCTGTTTTGCACACAGTAGCGGGCTTACCTTGATGCTCAATACCTGTAATTTCTCCTTCAACAAAATTCACAGACATTGGATAGGAAACAGGGAATTACATGGCACAGAGGCCCATGGGGAAATCCCTCTTCTAGGGGAATCCTGAAGGAAGAAGGACGAGACCTTCCTCTTCCATGTTTGTGCAGAAGATCCTTGTAGTTAATCCCATGTAGTAGAAGAGCACGGGTCTCCTGTCCCAGCCTTGCTGAAGCTGCCCCAGGGGTCAGGCAGGAAAGGAGAGCTTGTGGCACGCAAATATCAAGGGAAGAGGAAAACACACCTTCCTCAGGAAGAGGTGCCTGCCCTTCTGGAAGGGCCTTGTGTGTGCTGGAGCTGTGCCTGGAGCTGTGTCAGAGCGGCAGGGCAATTTCCCTTCTGTGCCCTGGGGTCTCTCTACATCCCTGCTTTTAGCCACACTCTACAAAATAAACTTCCCAGGGATTCTTCTTCCCTAATAGCCTTCTTCCCGGGGCCTTTTGAAGACTTGCCAGTGTAACAGGGCCACTGAACGTATTCCAAGTGCGTGGATGGGCACACAGCCCTGCTTACCCCTGGGCACTGCCGCCAGGAACCGGCTCTCATGGATGGCAGGATCCTGGCAGCAGAGGGGCCAGCAGAGGGATCTGTCAAATCTCATGTGTTATTGTGGTAACTGTGGCAATATTGTGCCCCAGGCTGTTTCCATCATGCAGCCTTGAGGTGGTGCCTCTATTTGAGGGCTGCTTCCATCTTCAGTGCATGTGGTAGCATGGGGGCTGGTTGGGTCCATCATTCTCCCAGAGGTTTCTGTTTCATCAGCTCCCCTGGCTCACATCATCACTGTGCTGCTGAGACATCCCTAAAGCTACTGGCCATCCACAAATTCCCTTTGATGGCCATCATGTTTCTCCCACTCTTCTTTTTAATCCAGTTTTCTTTCTTCTCTTTGGACATTCAGAGACTCTTATCCGGTAGACCTCTTGCAAAAAATAAAACAAACACCACCAACAACAAAAACATCTGCAGTTGCTCAACACTGAGACTTAGTTATTTAACTCTGAACACAGTGAAATCCAGGAACTTAGAGAATTGCAACCCCCTCCTCAAAAGACAGAGCAGCAACAGGAGACACTTGGCCTGTGCGTAGAGAATGGTTTCTGCTTTCCACATCCTTGAACACTCCTGCAAAAACAAACAGGTAACGAATGAGAAACTCAGTAACAGGATCCAGCTGGGTGAATGGAAAGATCGTATGCTCTTGTTTTAGCATTTAAAACACAGCTTTAGGTGTAATTAAAGCAGTTGTGTTCTACAAACAGAGGAGCTGAGCAAGGCAACAGCCCTCCTCCAGAGCCCATGCTGTCTGCCTCACTGCGGGCGGGAGTTTTTACAGCAGGGGGGACGGAAGAGGGTAAATGCTTTCCTAGTGGACATCCTTTCTTTGCTAAAGAGAAAGTCTGGTGTTTGCAGGCTTCTGTTCTATCAGAAAATGACATATTTCAAACCCCTCTTCTTGCCATGGGTGTGCTGAGCAAGCTTGCATCACCAGAATTTAAACCCTTCATAGTTTTAAACCCAACCATAGTTTTCCTGACCAGGTGTATTTTATTTAAACTGTTGTATCTTATACCTGTGTCCTGTACAAATGGCAGCGTAGGTGATAATCCCATTAATAGTGTATCAGGGTAGTACAGCCCCTAACCATGAGCAAGGCTGTGTCTATAGAGCACCTAACAGCAGGGCTCTGGGCTTACAGTGATGGCTGTTTGTGGACTGAGCCTGGAGTAAGCTAAGGTAGCAATCTGTACAGCTAGCCTGTGTCCTTAAAGATGTGCTGGGTGAGCTGGGGAGAAAGCAGGGCTGTTAGAAGGCTGTTAGAAGGCTCCACTTCTGTTCACAACCCACATGCAGGGAAGTGATCTCATGTCCTTGCCAGCTGGTGCCTGTTGACCCCAGGGACAGACCCTGCAGCACAGTCCCAGCAGCCCCACTGCCATGCCCCATGGGTGGCACAGCTGCTGGGCAGCCACGCTCTTCTTCCCTGCAGAGGTCCTGGGAGGACCAAATCCCCAGGGACAAGAGCTGAGGCTGTCAATGAAATGCCCTGACCGTATCTCCCCACGCTCTCCCTTCCTTGCCACCAGTCCAGTACTCTGATATCCACAAAGGACCCAGTGGGATTTTGATTTCTCTGGGCCATCCTGGTTACCTTTGGGTGGCTGGCACCATCTCTGGCCCTTGCAAAATTTGTGTGCCTCTTCCAGGCCACAGTGAGCAGTGCTTTGGCTAAGAGCTCATCAGACTCTTTGAACTGTTGAATAGAAGGCACTGGATGATGGATAAAAACATTTTAGTTTCAGGTCTTTGTTTGGGAATAAAATATTTTGGTGGCATGGTGCAATCCTTGCATTTCCCAAGTGAGCCCACAGCCGCACCCTAAAAGCTAGGAGGTGAAATTAACTCAGTGTTTAACTCAAAGCTGAATAGTGCAGCCCTTCTTCGTGTTCCTTCCCTACCCAAGTGTGTCATCCAAGCCTGAGTGTGCTCTGCCTCTTGCCTTTACTGCACTGACACATGACTGTTAATTTTAATGAGCTGAATGAAACCCACCAGGATCCACATCGAGGTTTTAGGTAGCTCAGACTGGGCTGTCAAGCCTCCCTTGCAGTCATACAAGGAAAGACGATGACTTTTGGAGTTCAGGGTTCGCATTCTCTGTGTTTCTTCCTGTTCCCTGCCATCCAGGGAGAAGAGTAAGAGAAAGTGTTGGAGGGTTTGGCAGGGCAGTGCAACTTGCTGCACTCCTGTGCCTGCTGTGCTCCTTTGCTTCCTGTGCCAGCTGCGAACACTCAGTGAAGAATGCCGAATCGCCAAGGGAAAAATGAAAGCCCATTAGCGTGGTGAGCTGGGGGATTCACTGCTGAGAGCCTGCAGAGCACTTATCTGATGGAGCGAGACCATTAAGTGCCGGGAGGTGCAGCACCCCCCGGGTGCGGACAGCGCGGGGGTGCCCGCTGGGCTGATGTCCTGGCACAGCCCCGTCCTGGGACAGGGGCAGGGGCAGGGACAGGAGCCTGGGCGGCGGCAGGGCGCCGTCTCCCCTCCAAATCCCGGCTCTGCAGTGAGCGGCGGCTCCGCCGACCCGGCCGGCCCCGGGGGGTCCCGGCAGAGCTGGGGCCGGGGGCGCTGCCCGCCGGTTCCCGGCGCTGTGTCCCCTCCCCCATCACCCCCTGTCGCTGCCCCTCGGCCCGCAGGGTCAGGCCGGGCCGCGCTGCCCGTCCGAGTCCCGTGACGGGAGCGGGCGGCCGGCAGCGGGCAAGGGAGCCGGCGGTGCCCGGGACCCCCGGTGCGGGCTGCCCCCGGCGGGCTCCCATTGGCCGCGGGGCGGGACGTGCCGCCCGCTCCGGCCCTATATCAGGGCAATATTGCCCCGGCGGGGCGCGGGGCAGGTGTCGGAGCGGCGCTGCCCGCGCAGGCATGGACCTGGGGTACCTCTCCATCGGGCTGTGCCGCGGGGTCCCGGTGCCCCCCTGCCCGCGACGGGGACCCGGATCCTTCCCCCCGCCGGACATCGCGGCCCCCCCCCCCGCCGCCTGCCTGCGCGGGGTGCGCGGCGGTCCCGTGCCCCGGCTACGAGCGGCCCCGCGGAGCTGGGACACCGGGAGAGCGCTGCAGGGACCCACCGCGCCCCGACGACTCCGGGACCCGCCGCCCGACCCCTCCGGAGTTCGGCCGCCCCCGGCCCCGTCCCGGCTCCCCGACCCCCGGGACGGCCCCGGCGGCGCCCCGCACCTTCGAGTGGATGCGAGTGAAGCGGAGCCCGTCCGGGAGAAGTGAGTGGGGCCGCAGGGCGCGGGAGGGGGCCGCTCCCATCCCTGCTCCCCTCTGCCCCTCTCCTGCCCCGACCCTCGCCCCCCCGTCCCGCTCCCTTCCCCCGCCCCCGCCCCGCTGAAGCGCGGTGTTTTTCGGCGTTGCAGGCGGCGCGGCGCCTCCCGCCTGCCCCCTGCGCACCAGCTTCAGCACCCGGCAGCTCACGGAGCTGGAGAAGGAGTTTCACTTCAGCCGCTACCTGTCGCGGGCCCGCCGCCTCGAGGTGGCCCGCTCGCTGCGCCTCCGCGACGCCCAGGTGAAGGTCTGGTTCCAGAACCGCCGCATGAAGCAGAAGAAGCGGGAGCGGGAGGCGCTGGCAGCCCCCCGGGCAGCCCCGGGGAGCCCCCCCTGAGCCCCGCCTGGGCGTCGGGGCTGCGGCCGGCTCCTCCGTCAGGGCCGGCCCCGCTTTCGCTGCCGCTTACCTGCGGCCGTGTCGCGGAGCATCGGCAGGGAAAGTTGCTGCCGGCCCCAAGCGCCGCTGTTCGGCTCCGTCTTGGAGCCCCCGGCCGGGCCCAGCCAGCAGCCGTCGGGGAGCGGTGGGGGGCACCGGGGGCCCCGAGCTGCCGCCCTCTCCTGCGTTTATCTCGTGGGAAGGGAGCTGCGCGGGGCGGCGGCACGGCGGGTGGGCGCGCACGGCTTCTGGCAGCGCTCCTGCAGGAGCCGGGGGAGCCTCGACGGGGCAGGGCAGAGCGCGGAGGGCTTCCCCTCACGGCGACGGAAAGGATGCGCGCCGGTATCAAGCGTGGCGCGGAGCCCCCTTAGGACAAGCGCCCTTATCTTCGTCCCCGGGGCCACAGTGGCGGGGCCCAGCCGGTGCCCTCCCACGGCTCCCCCCCGGGCACCTCTGGGGTGGGGGGACAGGGACGGGACGGGACGGGACGGAAGGGCGCAGGGCCTCCTGCAGCTCCCCTGTCCCGGGTCCCGGCCGCCCGCCTCCCCCGGGCTCTCTTGTTGTGTACGGGTGAAAAACTGCACCGCGTTAAATCCGTATGCAAAACGGATTAAAGCGCAGAAGGAGCCCGGGGATTCCTGTGTCTTTCTCTCGGAGTAGCGGTTCAGAAAGTGACAGCCATTGGTTGCTCCACAGAAGCGCAAAATTCACCAGGGATCCCCGCTTCCCCGGATTTCACCTCTCCCAGAGGTAAAGCAGAGGTATCCAAGAGGACAGAGCAGCCGACCCCAAACACTTCTCCAGCACCTGGACGGTGGCTGGGCAAGCATCGTGGCGGCGCAGAGGGACCTCTGGATCCACGGGACCACGGGACAAAACAATTTTAGACGACTCTCCCTCTGCTTTGGACTTCATCTGGCTGTGGGACTTCGGGGTGAAGAACAAGTCGTGGGGAGAGGGATCCTGGGGGTCCAGAGCGCGGGGTCCCCAGCTGGGAGCCAGCCCCAGCCTCCCACAGCTGCGGGGCCTCGTGTTGTGCTTACACACTGTGTCCCCACTGTACTTGGAAAGTACAATAAAGCTGGCGGCTGTGCATGCATGCAGGGACTTTTTGGTTTTGTACACAGGGTCACGGATCCTTCCAAGTAGTTGATGCACTTCACAGGTTACCACGGAAAAATTCCCAAGGCAGAGCTGCTCGTATGAAACCCGCAGCAACTGAAAGAAATGGGGTGCAGTTCCTTATTGCAGCAGTGACACCAAACGACCTTTTATACGGCAGGATGATCATTCATTTAAAAAAAAATAGGAACTAATATTTCTGCCAGCTTTTTTTTTTTTTTTTTTTTTGATAAGATACTACTTGAAGCAAAACAGAGTAAGATGTAGTAAAATTCATGGAAATTCATGTCAATAATTTTTTTTTTTTTTTTTTTCAATCTGATCATTAAAAGCAAGTCAACTCCAAGCCAACTATTTTCAGCTGCTTTTAAGGAACATTTTACACCAAGTCTACTGCTAGTAGTCTGTTTCTAAACAAAAAATGCTCCTATATATGCAGCCAGAATAAGCTTATATGCTTATAAGCTGTCTTCTCAGAGCGCATGGTTCACATGCAAACTTCAGAAGACAGCTGTGTTTTCAGTTGCCTCCAAATTCGTCACATGCCCATGGGGCTGCTGGTTTGTCAGCCTTTTATTTTCTTAATGGTTTTGACATTTGTGCTAGTCAACTTCAGGCCAGAGGAAAGTTTTCCACACTGGTGGCATGCTCCTGCACTACCAAACTGGAAAGAAAGATTCTCATTGATTTCGGTGGTTCTTGACCAGGCCGTTAGACCACACTAAGTCTTTTACAAAGAATGTTTTCAGGCCATATATTTTCCCGACTAAAGAAATACACGTGCCAGCATCGTAGCAGTGCACAGTTCTGTATCAGTCAAAATGACACAGCCTGAATATCTAGAGATTTACTTGCAAATTAAGATGAAACCTTACAACTCTTTTATGGTTGTCTGAATAAATTTGCTGGTATGAACACAAACATATTCTGTTTAAAAAACTGGTACTTAGTATTAAGTGTAATTTCTGCTCACACAACAGGGACAGTTTAATGGCATCTCTCTTCCTCACAACCAGTTTTTACTGTGTAAGATATTACTCCTTTGCAGTGTTCTGTCAGCAAGATACCCAGAGGAAGGAGATAATGCAAGTCATGTGCCAATTCCTGAATAATTAAATAAAAATGCCTCCGATATACATGGGTGCACACATGAGACAAATAAATGATAGATAAGGTCTAAGATTCACTCATTTAATATCCCAAGAGTTGTCTCTCACACATGTTCAGTTTGATGCCTAACAGTTGGAAGCAGGTTTTAGGTTATGCAGATAGAGGTAAGAGCATGGGCTGTAATTCTCACCAGAGTCAGAACAAAATCCTCCAGACTTGCCTCAGTAAATACCCAGCACCATATAATTTATCACAAACTATGAAAATATTATTTTCTGGCCTTATTTTCCTCCAAACATCATTAGAAACCACAAAAAGACCATTCTATTTCAGTCTTATATTAATTTTTGCCTACTGACTATTGCTCAAAGAGCCACAGGCTACCAAGGGGATATGAACAATATAATTTTGTTTATGTGTTCCCATTTTGCTTGAAACAGAATAAAAAGGAAGAACAAAAATATATGGAAGGCTTCCAAGGAGAAAGAAAATAAAAAAGTTGTTAAGTTACTGTTCATAGGCAGTATATGTGAGTGCATAGATTTGATATCCTTTGGCCGGGTAAGTGATAACAGAACATCACACATCTTTGAAAGCTGAGCTCAGGCAAGAAGCCAGGCCGGCTTTGGTATCTGACTGCCCAAGAAGAACAGAAAAAGTATGTGGTCATGTGCCAACACAGCACAGGGAACGCTTTGCTGAGGGTCAGACCAACTACTCTGGTTTATGGTATCAGCTGCATATACAAGTTTATTTTGAGCATCAAAGAACACAACAGTAAGCCAGAAAACAAAAAAATATGCAACCCAATCACCACATTTTAATCTTCTTTTAAAAGTGTGCCATTTCCTCTGTTGGTAAAACCTGGAACAGTGGCTTACACATAAAACAGTACAGATTATTAACAGAGTAAAATAGACTATTACCTCTTTTAAGAAAAATATTTGCAGGCAAAGTTACAAAATGGAAAGACCTCCTTGTAGTTTCAGCTATTTGTCTTTAACAGCTAATAAATCATACTTATGATATGTCCTGTACTGCTCCGTTAGCCTAAATTCCAGTAAATCCTGAGAACAGTTGCAAATCCCCGATGACCAAGGAGACAGAGGTATGGAGAGTAACCTCAAGTAAGACATGATAGTTACCAGGTTAGCATTAACAGGTGACTGAAGTGTAGGGGAAACTCCTTCTCTTGTTGATATATGGCTACCTACTTCTATATGTGAGTTGCTCAAACATAAGCATCTTTTTTTATTGCTTTTCCTAATGTCACTGAGCACTAATGTTTGCTAGGAGCCTTTGGCCAGGAAATCCCCCTGAAAGAAAGAGGTGAGTCAGTAACATTTGTGTTTTCTAATCATAATGACATCTGTTAGTCAAAACCACCCCCCAACATACCCCTACAAAGGGGCCCCATACTAATTCTGGGCAATACATAGGAAAATATCCTTCCCAGAGCCAGTGTTCTATTGTATTTTATTTTTATCAAAAATTAATTGCTGTTCTTGAGCCAGATGAGCAAAGTAACCCTCAGCTGGGCAAAATTTGAATCTTCTGTGACTTATATTAACACCTGTGTAGAGTGCTAAAATCTCGGATAGAGATACAGCCCTCAGAACTATTTGTGAACAGGACAAAATTTCCACAAGATTTCCTCTCTACTGAAAAAAATGGGCCACGGGCCCACAAAAGAGCTTTTCATAAACATTTTTTTTCTTGTGTTCTTGTTTCCTGAAATGACAACAGCCCCTGGTGATAAACAGATTGAAAAACAAATGTGTAAGTAAACAAATACATGAACTAATATAATATATATCAATCTATCAGACTTCCCACCACCTGGAAAACAAGTCTTTTAATTACCCTTCATCAGAGAGCATAATGTTGCAAACAATAAAAGAAATTTCTTTTTTTTTTTTTTTTTTTCTGGAGATCAGGGCATTTTTAGCCAGGATGGCATACCGTGCCTTACGAAAATACTAAGACGACTGTACTCAAGTTGTCTGGTCTCTGGCCTTACAGTGAAATCCCCAACCCATCAGAAAACGGGGATACAACGCACTGGGGTGCTTGCACCTCTGCCTAGCTCTGCGGAGAGCAAAGGCCTTTGCAATGGATTGATCGGTGCTCCTCTGGCTGTGCATAAAATTACAGCTGGATGAGAATTCAGTGGATCTGCTTCTGCTCAGCAAAAGGAGCCATTCATTTTGCCTCTACAGCCTATGAAAGATGTCTGTGTCCCAGTAATATGATTTTTGTGACATTAGTATAGGAGTAGAACCTGAGAGCTAAGGCTTCCCAGCCATTACTCTTCATCTTGACTGTTGTGAGACACTAAATCTGCATTCCTAATGTCCCTTTTTATGTTTCTTTAACAAGTAAACTAGATTAAAGACAATAAAGTTTAGAGTGGTACTTGAAAATAGATAAAAATCTCACTAAATTTTTTAATGGCTACTGAAGATCAGATTTTGCCCAGTTACTGTTCAGATAATGGACACAGCTTTTATTCCTGGCACTCGCTAGTATCAAATCCATATGTTAAGCATAGATATTGGAATAACTATTTTTAAAGCCCGCACATTTATGGATTTATAAATTATGCCATTTATATATGGAGACATTTTCTTCAACACCTGAGCACATCAAATCCAAAGACAATTATCCAACAGTGTTAAAAGCCTGTCAATAAACCCCATCTATCTATCTCTTTAATAATTCATCTGAGTAAATGTGTGGTAAGTGATGTCAATGGGTTATCACACCTGTTTCCTCATGCTGGAGAAACTAGACCCCAAAACATGTGCATACAAGGTGTCAATGTTCTGCAGTAAGTCCGTGATTTTGTAAAACTTTATAATTGTAACCAGCACTGCAACTTTCACTTTAATGTGACCAGGCAGCCAGTTCAAACAAAAAAAGGTACAGGACTGTTGAACACCCTTAATGTCACGTCTCACTCAAGAAATGGACCACCTGGTGCTTCTGGTTGCTTTTCAGAAATAGTACCAAATCAAATTGATTCAGTAATATGATTTGAGACATCACAGGTGTGAATTGTTAAAGCAAGAGCGACATGAGAAAAGGACCATCACAACTCTGGGGCTAATCATAAATGTGAAAACAAAAACAAAAATACCCTATCTGTATGTTGTCAGTATGATCCACAGTGCTGCTGCATCATCTGTGATCTCACCTACCCCAGAGGCAGATGGTTGTGCTTTCAAAGGCAAACTGGAAGAGCACAGCTCTGCCCTGTTCTTCTGAAGTTTTTTCCTAAATAAAAAGTCTGTTGGATTTAATAAAAAGGTGATAGTATGTCTGGATTTTGTCAGCAGTGGTCACATCCAGGCTGGGACACCCACATCTGCAGTCACCACCAGCCTGCAATTCATTTCCTAAATCCCTTCATATAAGAAGTGGAGAAAAGAGAAGCATAAATGAACCCAGAGGTGAAACTGCCTACATCAACAGCCATGATAACCCGAGACTGTATTCTTGGGGCTGCATCAAAATGTGCTCT